AGCAGAACATTGCCCCAGAGGACAATTCCGCATCCGTCAGTGATGAACACAGAACGTCTCGGTGCCGTCCTTGGGTACCTGGACATCAGGATGCGTCCATCGTGCAAGATTCAACTATGGAATAAAGTGAAGTGGTTGATGTGCTTGGATATCAACAAATCATCTGTTGATCGTTAGGCCCCAAAAGTGCAGGCCTGCTCTCGTGTCCACTGCGATGTCAGGCTGCGGATAACTGCTGTCGTAACTGCCTTCGAAAGAAAACAGCGCCAGCACTCAAATCTCCTGGAATTGATATACAGTCTGCGATCAATGTGCCTTGGAGCGAGCTTTGGCGCGACCCCATGCTACAGCTCAAAGCGACAGCAGACCCAGCTTCTTCTTCCTCTGCTATGACAAAAAGTTGTACGACAATTGCAACTGATGCACGTATCTCGCCTCTATATTAATCCGCAGCCATAGAAAAAGCCGCGCTACACAACTGACAGAAACTGCCACCTGACTGAACGTCCAACCTTGCAGCTGCATGTGCTTCCGAACTCACCTCAGCACTGCTACTTAAGGCAGCAAACCAAGCGTGACCCACCTGAAGAAGCTCTAACAATATTATCCTACAATCTTTGGTTGGAGTTATCAAAGCTCCACCATCAACCACCGACCATCTCAACAAGCGGCCAGTCTGCTCCCCGCAATTCGCTCCCTGGATGTCGTGACTGGCAGCTGCAGCTGCAGAGGGTCAATGCAGCAGCGATGAATCGCTTTGCAGTGCCTAATCCTGTTGCAGGCCTTTCATGTCACAAGTACTATTGCCAAGCGGCGAAGCGGCAGCCGATTGCCTGTTGTAGTGCAATTTCACCGAAAAAAAATCAGATGAAACCGGAAGACAATGAAAAGCAGGAATGCTACGGTGTAAGATGACGAACATGACAATTCATTGATCGATCGGATTGGGGAGTAACGTAGATCAGGAGTCAAGAGGACTGGTGACAACTAACTGTTATTGTGTACTTAAGGCGTTTCGAATTTCTCTGTTGAATTTACATTTATACACGTGTCTTATTTTGACGCGTTGACCTTTTTTTTTTTTTTTTTTTTCTTGTTTTGACCATTGAGCCTTCTGACCGCCCAACTAAAAAATAACCTCAGAAATCGACTCCCTGCCCTCGGAAAACCGGCCTAAAACGAGGGTATTGGCATGACACTCTAGGCATCGAGCTCTACAAATTGTAGAACTTGATCTCAAATATCCAGAGCATCGACCGGCGGGCGCCATCTGAATTCCAAGAATGCTCATGCACGATGCGCAGGTAGCAATCCAAGCTAAATCAGCTCTCCTTAAACCTATAGTAGAACAATTTCCATAAAAAGGTTCAAGTAATTTAACATAAATGCCTACGGGTCAACATTTTGGCAACTGGAACTAAGAACGTGTGGGGGCGCGTACATTCCACTTTCCCGAGCAAAAAACAATATCATATCTTCTTCCCAGTTCCCAGTAAAATAAAATCCCAATTCCCAGTTCCCAGGAAATTATGTAGACATGTTTCAAGAAATTCAGTAGTTTAGGTTTTCAAACACTACATAAATACTAATATTTACATACCATTATTTATCTGGGCATAATTAATAAAAAATAAAAAATAAATTGAAAAAAATAATATTAGCACAGAAATTGAAATCCCGACGAATTGAGACAATTTTCCCAGATCCTAGACAATTTTAGAGGGTCTAATTCCCACGTCCCGATGGACTTCTGTTCCCGAATCACGGAAAATTTATCTGACATTTCCCAGTTCCCAGCTAATTAAAATTGCCAATCCCGCGTCCCGAAAATACCCGTTCCCCCCTCTAAGCAGTTAAGGAATTTTACATAGGCCCAAGGGTGAGTATTAGGTCATTCCGCATAGAGAACACTGCGGTGATTCTGCACCACCACAAACAATTTGTTGACCCCTACTTAAATGATATAAGTAAAAAGAAACGTCAGTTAATCGTGTGAAGCCAAGTAAGGTAGGTAAATTATATATGTGTTAAATTAATAATAATAACTGTACTATTGATAAGAATAATTATAATAATGAGTGATTTTTGGATGATGGTTAAAATGTTAATTCATAATTGGTAATCGATAAAAGATTAATTTTCAACCAATGATTGATAAAAGATTAATTCATAACCGATGAATGTTAAAAGATTCCTGATTGGTTGATTGCTAAAAGCCACAATTTCTCAACTGCTAGTAGCCCTAGGATTGGTTGGTTGCTACGAGACCCCTGATTGGTCGGCTGCTACGAGGCACCTGATTGGTCGTATGCTACAAGGCCCCTGATTGGTCGGATGCTAGGAGACTCCTGATTAGTTGGCTGCTACGAGGCCCCTGATTAGTCGGATGCTATGAGGCCCCTGATTGGTCGACTGCTACAAGGCTCCTGATTGGTCGGATGCTACGAGGCTTCTGATTGGTTGGCTGCTATGAAGCTCCTGATTGGTCGGTTGCTACAAGGCCCCTGATTGGTAGGCTGCTACGAGGCCCCCGATTGGTAGGCTGCTACGAGGCCCCCGATTGGTCGGCTGCAACAAGGCCTCGATTGGTCGGCTGCTATGAGACTCCCGATTGGTCGGCTGCTACAAGGCTCCCGATTGGTCGGCTGCGACGAGACCCCCGATTGGTCGGCTGCGACGAGACCCCCGATTGGTTGGCTGCTTTGAGCCCTCTGATTGGTCTTCTGCTGCTGCTTGTGCTAGTGCTTCTGCTGCTGCGTACTGTTGCCGCTTCTCCCACTGCTGCTGCTACTCCTGCGTGTTATGTATTGTTGAGGTGCGGCCTGCGTCGGTGATTAATGCGTGGTGACCCTGTAATGATTGACTTAGACGCAGTGAAGGGGGCAGGGTGATGCACGCTCGCGGGCCCACGCCATATACCATGATAATATAATCTATAGGTAATAAGTAAATGTGGTGTAATTCGTAAAGTTAAATGGTAAAGGTAATGGTAAAGGTATATGTAAGTTAATTCGAAAAGTTAATGTGGTATTAAAAGTTCATGTTTAAAGTTAATGGTTAATGGTAAAAGGTTAATGCTTAAAGTTAATGGTTAATGTTTAAAGTTAATGGTGTGTTAAAAAGTTAATTGGGTATTAAAACGTTAATGGCCTATTAAAAAGTTAATGGTGTGTTAATCCGTTAATGGGGTATTAAAATTTAATGGGGGAATTAACAAGTTCATGGTTAACGTTAATGGTGTGTAAAACAGTTAATAGTGTATTAAAAAGTTAATTGAGTCTTAAAACGTTAATGGGGTATTAAAAAGTTAATGGGGTTTTAGAAAGTTAATGGTTAAAGTTAATGGTGTGGTCGGACGGACGGACGGACGATCATGCGATTCTACAAGCTGCATCTGACTATGTCAGATGAGCTAAAAAGAGGCAGCCGCTGCATATCGTGTGGATAATCAGACGTTTTAGTGGCTGTCGATTTAGCATACATAAAACCAGCACTACTCGTCGTCACACGTACTACGGGCATAAACGCTACATAAATCGTGCGACTTCCCCCTGCACAGTCCGTCGACTCGCCTACCTCCATCGCAGTGCGCAGCACGACGTTGAAGAGTCCCTGCGAAGGTCCAGGCTGCTCCCAGCTCTGTCGGACGAGCGTGAAGATGAGTGTGAGTCCCGTGCGCACGCCCATCTCAACGAGCGCGTCCGAGCTGCATCGCACGCGCTCGAGGGCTAGCCGCTCGCCACCCGTCCCGCTGCCCATGTCCAACCATTCCTGCTGGTGCTTCAGCTGCTCCTGTGACAGACAAATCAAACCCGTGTCCATCCACTGACAAACCTTTGCTATGTGAGACCAAATAAACTCATCTCTGTCAGTTTATAAACTTCTCCTGTGTGGGGCAAAACAAACTCATGTCTATCCACTGGCAAACTTTTCCTGTGATAGACCGAATAAACCCATTTCTATCAGTTTATAAACTTCTTCCGCGTGAGACAATACAAACTCATCTCATATTACTCTGCAACAAGATATTTTGCCAGGTTCTTGAGTTTCCATAGACGAACAAGCACAAGTTCAGGACTAGGCCTAGGGATATTTCAGTATTAGAAATAAGCCTGAAAACCATGACCAGTCCAGATGTTTTACACTTATTATTTCTACTAAATACGCTCTGGTAAAATCTATAAAAGTTGGCCAGTCCTGCACAAAAGTTACGAGTCCCGGACTCGGGGACGGGTCGCTATTTACAACTAGGGGTGCAACGAATCACAACTTCACGGTTCGGTTCGGTTTTCGGTTTTCACATTTCGGTTCGGTTATTTTCGGTTCGAATATTTGCGATCAATTACAAATCTTATAACACCAAACAGAAGTGCAAATATAATAATCAGACTGGTTTATAAATATTAAATAATAATGTCACTAAAATTCTTTGAACAACAAACCTTTAATATACAATACCCAAATGTTAGGGCAAATTCAACAAAACCTTTGTACAGGAAATTCAAATATTTCAATTCAGTAAAAGTAACCAAATAGGCAAATATGTCCAATAGTCCATCTCAGTGTCTTTGTACTTCATTGATTAGGTGGAAATAGGAAAATTATGAACGCGTTGACCTTCTCGTGGCATGTAGCAAGTGGTCTATCAATGTTATCTGCTCGCTGATTGGCCGAGAGTTTACGACAAGCCAATCGCAGTGCGCGTATCTCAAAAGCGTATATATCGAGTATATATAAAATGTGGAACCGAAACCGAGCCGAAAACGGAACGACGGTTCGAATATCCGAATGGTGGCGCAAAAACCGCGGTTTTCGGTTAACCGCGGTTAACCGTTACACCACTATTTACAACAACGATTAAATACAAACCTTGTCATGATACTTGCTCGAGATTGCGTAAAAAATTCTCTGGAGGACCACCAGGCGGCGTTGCAGTGTGCTCGCAAATGGGGTATCTGCACACACAGACTGGGCGAGTTTGAGTTGGCTTGCGAGTAGTGCATCCAAATACAGATCTTGCTCCTCTACAGTGAGGCCTTCTTGCTGAAAATCTGGCAACGATGGTCCTTTGAGGTCGAGTGTCTAAATATGATACAAGCGCACCTCGTCAGTAAGCAACCCCGATACAGTTATTAGTTTTCCATGTGTTTTCTACTGTAAGTAGAATTTGACAAAAATTCCCTTTTTAAGTTGCTGTAGAGCCAGGACATTTGTAATACTGAATAAGCAGCATTGTTTCAGAATGTAGATATTTTTACGGATTAGCTGCTTACACATCCTGGATGATATCACTATTACTATTAGCCTGCACTGTGCTGTAATAAGGTGTCCGTAGACTTGTGGTGACATACAATATTAACTCATTTTCTTATCAACAATGAATAAGGAAATCTTTCACGTGAGGAACGTTTACTACCTACCGATTTCCCACAGCATACACACCTGATTCGGAACTGAAATAACTTCCTTGTTTGAGACCAGTCTATCATACAGCAACTTGATACCATCTCTGCTTGCAATAGTCTCGCAGTCTTCTAGCACCCATGAACTATTCAGGTGCTCACACCACTTTAGTTTTACAGGCTGGTTATTATTAATATTATACATTACGTTATGATTATTGATTCCATAACATCATGCCTGAAAATTAAATGCAGTCGACATTTTTATATCACTATTCAACAGAAGTGCAAGAAACTGTCACTGTCAGTGTTGTGTATTGAAAAACCTTGTAATTGTATAAATTTACTGTAAATAGTGTAATAATTATCCTTAATACTAATAATAGTTGCCACAGCCACAGGATATGTCGTTTACATGACTGCACACTGCAGTCTTGGAGTTGGTCTGCAGACTGCAGTACGCCTGCATGTAAACCCCATCATTCAATGTTCGTAATTAACTCATGCCTAAATCATGGGTATTACGCTTAACATGCCGTTATTGGCAAGTACTATTATAACTACTAGGAGCTATCCAGTACACGTGTTTACAATAGCACACAGTCACAGATATACATGTCAGAGACAGAGGCACTTCTTGCACTAGTTCGAGTTTCCTCTGACCAATGCCCACAGCGACGATTTTGGTGGTTTTGATGTGTGTTAGCACTTGGTGGTTCTAACCCACACCAAAACCACCAAAATCGTCGGTCTGGGCATTGGTCAGAGGAAACTCGGACTATTCTTGCACTTGCAGACACAGGCACTTGAAGCGTTTCAATAAAATATAATGCTAACTAAATACGAAATCTATTTACTACCAAAT